ATTCCTTGTTTTCCTCCGTTCTGCTTAACTACTCACTACTTGATGTTTTTGTTCTTTAGGTATTTTGGTGTTGTGGTGTCATTGTTTCAGTCTAGGATATCCTGGAGGGTTTTTTTGAGTGTTGGTTTAATGATCATATATTTCTTTTTTTTTTTTTTAATCTTTCATTTATTTGGTACAGTGTCTCGCTATGTAGCTCGGACTCCTGGTGATCCTTCCTATCTCAGCTTCCCCAGTGCTAGAATTACAGGTGTGCACCACCACGCCCGGTTCCAGTGACTAGCATGGCCTTCAGTATTGGGGATGGAACTCAGACCTGTGAGCTTGCCAGGCAGGCGCTTAGACTGCTGAGCTATCTCCCCAGCCCTCTAGTTCTATTCTTGTTTTTAAGGTGTCTGTGAATGTATGGTCTTATCTTGTAGTTCTCACACTGTCATCAAATTGGTCACTTCTGCTGCCCATATTTCAATAGAATTTTTTGAAATTTCCTCTCCTGGATTTTTTTGTGATACCTTTTTACAGACTAATTCTTGGCTAAATTGGTCATTCATGTTTTATATCGTTTTGGTTACCTCAGCTAGCTTTTTATTGGTATCTTCTATAAGCTCACCAGTTGTTTTATTAAGTCTATCATCTGTTTAGTTATGTCATGTTTGAACTTGAGAACCCCATATGACCTGTGTTACAGCTACTGACTATTTTGTGTAACTCAGTTGTTTGGCTTTTGACGTTCTCCCAATTAATGTCTTATGGTTCAACTTTGAACTACTTGGGAGTTTTGAGCAGCATTTTGTTGGTGTGTATTCTTTTTTTTAAATGTGTATGTATGCTGAGGTGTGCAGGTGCAATATAATAGAAATAACTTTGTTGCTAGTATGGGTGTCTGTAGTTAGTGTCTGGTTTCCAGTGATGTGTTCTGGGTGTGGCTAGCCATAGATTTTTGCCTCTGTTCCAAGATTTGACCCTCTCTATTAAACTTGGGGAGAGTATATGCAGTATAGTTGTCCCAACACCCAGTTCTCCAGAAATGAAGAGAAGTATGGTTCATAACACAAAGACAAACCAGACATTGCACAGTCCCAGCGCTAGAGAGGCTGAGGCAGGTGGTTCACTTTGAATTTGAGCCCAGCCTGGGTGATATGAGTTCAGTGCCAGCCTGTGCTACATAGCAAGACCCTGTCATTAAAAAAAAAAAAAAGCCTTCCACCACAGCAACCATTGAAAAACAGTAGCCATGTCCCTCTGTTATCCCATGGCTGTGGGCCTCAACAAGAGCCTCAGGTGACTAAGAATGTGAGCAAACCGAGGCACAGCCACTGTCGTGGACACCTCACCAAACACACCAAAGTTTGTGTGGGACATGATCCGGGAGGTGAGTTGCTTTACCCCTAAGAGCAGCACACCATGGAGCTGCTCAAGGTCTCCAAGGACAAACGTGCCCTCAAGTGCATCAGGAAAAGGGTGAGGACACACTTGTGCGCCAAGAGGAAGCACGAGGAGCTGAGCAACGTGCTGGCAGGCATGAGGAAGGCAGCTGCCAAGAAGGACTGAGCCCCTCGAATAAAGCTTTGCAGAAAGTTTAAACAAACAAAAGCCTGGGATATAGCTCAGTGGCACTGCACCTGCCTGACAAGTTCAGAGTCCTGAATTCAACTCCCAGTATCAAAAAAAGAAAAAAAAGAAAGGATCTTATTAAGCAGTAAAAGAAAATTAAAATTAATAGAATTAAAGTAACAAAAGAACAAAAAAGAAAGCAGAGTGAGAAGTAAAAAAAGAAAGAAAAGAAACATACTTCCCAAGCCTCAAGAAACTAAGAAAGAAAAAATCAGTATGTTCAAAGAATTAATGTTTTTGAACTAACGTTTTGGGTTTTTTACCCGCCTCCCCCAAGATCTGCAGTGTTGAAAATCCACCCAATACAGGGAAGGTAGTACAGCTGGAACGCTGTGCCTGAGGAGACCACCCTGCTCTGGCCACTTGAGTTGGGGCAGCACCCTAGGATGCCTCCTCAGTCTCCCCTCAGCCTGTCTGAGTTTGAGTGGCACCCTAGGACCATCCCTATAATAACTCCAGACCAGAGTACTCATGGCCCTTGTTGAGCCCTTTTTCCTGTCTTGTCCTAGAACAGTTTTTCTTCAAGTTTCAGTAAGTTTTTTTACCCCGGGTATGTGCTTTGCAGTTCCTTGTTTGTGGTGCACTAGAGTTTGAAATAGTTACATTGGGATCACTGGAAATTATTACTAAGGCATGTTATATTTCAGCATTCATATTTTTTTGCCTAAATACTGAATTTGCCCTGCCTTGCCTGCTGTGTGATTGGTCAGTGGTGTCTTCTCTTGGACTGTACTCCAGCTACTCCCAGTTTCCATGTCAAGCATTCTCCACCTAGCCTTATGGCCTGTGGGTTTGTGAGGTGCCCCCACCCCACCCAAGATTGCTGTCCGTTCATGCACCCCAGCCTGTGGCAGCCGTCCAAGCCAAGGTATGTCCAGGCTCACACTGGCAGATGGGGAAAGCAAGCAGACCCCTGAGGGCTGTGTTGGATGTAGACAATGGGGTAGTGGGGTCAAGGAGTTTTCTGGATTCAATGTCAGCGCTTTCAGACCCAGTGCTCTCTAGAAGCCACATGAGATCTGCCTGGCACTCAGTTCAGAGCCCTGTGTCCTTTCCAGCCTGAGCTTAAACTTTTCAGAGAATGCTTACTGCATCTGGCCTAGCCCTCTCTTCACTTGTCTGTTATAGCCAACCCCTCCCCAGTTACTGTGGCTTTCTGTTGCTGGGTCTTAATAAGCTCCTTCCCCAGTTGGTTCCTGATTAAATGCTCTTAGTTAGAGTAGGTGCTGTACTGGATTTTTTCTTTAATTGTAGTTTGCCAGGCAAAGAAGCCATTTTCAGGGTAAAACCCCACACTGTTTTTGCAGTTTACAAAAGCTGTGGCTTTTTCTTGGAGCTAGTACCGCCTGCTGGTCCACTGTTTCTTTGTGGAGCTCTTTAGAGTTTATTTGTGTTAATAGAGACAGGTTCTCTTTTCTGGGAATTTTGTTTTGTTTTTTTCCTAATGCTATCCCCCTAACCCCCTGTGTTGTGTTCCCATTCTCCTGCTTTTCTGTAATTTCTAATTTTCCTGTCAGCTTCTTGCGATTCCTGGAGATCTGCTTCTTTTTTTCCTTCACCAAGTTGTTGTTTTGTAGGTCCTAGAGAGAGGCTGTATTGTGCTGCCATTCTGTATAATTTTTCATCCTCCTCTGGATAGAGTTTTAAATTAGGTATAATCACATCTGTATTTTGTTAGAGACAGGGATGATAAATTAATTCATTAATTAAATATAATGGGAGACTATCATGTTCCATCCCCTGTACTATGTTCATGTGTAGCCCTAAACAAAACGGATAAAGTCCCTTCCATCATGGCATTTGTCTTGTGGTAGGGACAGACAACAGCAAGTAGGCCACATAATTGCAAATGATTGGTGCTATGAGAGAGAGAGAAATGTGATTTAACAGTGGAGGAAGGGTTGAAAATACTTGGTTTGGGTGGATACAAAGAGCCTCTGAGAAGTTGTCTGAGGTCTCAGTGATGACAAAGAGTGAGTCCTGTAGATGTCTGGGGGAAGAGTTCAGGCACAAGGAGAGGCCATGTAGGAGCCTCCGCTTGGAACTGAGCTTGACAAGTTTGAGGAACTAAGTGTGGCCGGTGTGGCTTCAGTCTGGTAGGAGGGAGTGTGGTAAGAAGTGACGTTTGTATCAGGTCAGTGGTAAGGCCCACCACCGTGGTAAGGTTGAGTTTTATTCTATCTACGATTGGGAACTGTTTGAGCACTTGTGATGTTTGTACATTTCTATCAGCTCACTGACTACAGTGAAGTAGATGGTAGTGTAGAAGCAAGGTGGCCAGTTAAGAAGCTGTTGCAGTCATCCAGGCAAATACTGAAACCTAGATAGCTTAGTCTGGATAGTCATAGTAAAATGGAGATAGCTTAGTCTGGATAGTCATAGTGGAATGGAGACTGTGAATGAATTTAGGGTGTTCTGTGTAGGTAGTCGATAAAACTTGATGTGATTAGACTGTGTTTTGCTGCTATTTGGTTTCAGGAAAGAATGAATAGGTAGTAAAAAGCTAGGTTGGTATCACTAGAAGACTCAAAGTCATTTAAAAGAGAAAAGAGAACATTCACTTGTGAAAAAATGCAAGAAAATTAAAGATGAGTTGAGGGGAGGGCAAGAAACCCCACAACAAGCATTTAAAGAAACAAAACCCCGCAATAATACCATGGTGACCAAGTTCAAATCATTCTGTTTGTGGTGGAAAACAAGGCCTTTCTCACTTGTTTATCTGCATGGAAAGCTCATGTTTTATTCTCGTGCTCTAGTTTTAAATATCAGCATGTGAAAAATCAGGGATTTTGGCTAAGAAATCTTTTTTTTTTAAATTTTTTAAAAATTTTATTCCAGTACTAGAGATCGAACTCAGGACCTTGTGTTTGCCATGTAGATGCTTATGCCACTTATGCCAGGCTATCTTCCCTGGCCCTCTTTGTTTTTTTCTTTTTTTGCCTGTGCAGGGAATCAGACGCAGGACCTCACTCATGCCTGGCAAGCACTGTTCCAGAGTTTATGAAGTCTAGTGTTAAGGCTAAGTTCCAGTTTTATTCTTTGGAGAGTAGCACTGCACAGACTGATCTTTGCTTTAACTCAGGGTGCAAAGTATTTCCCTTCTCGTGACTATACTTTAAGAAAGCTTAGTCGTATTGGAAACTCTACTGGATATGGGAATCAGAGTTGTCTAATAGTGCAGAAACTGGCATGGGTCAACTTGAGACAGTGAGAGTGGGCCTGGGATGCTGGCTGCTCTCTTGTGATCTGTGGCATTTGATAGACCTGCCCACTTACCTATTGTAAGAAAGTATTTCTTAGATCAGAGCTGGGATGGCTAGTCACTTGGAAATTTCCTAGTCAAGTAGTCTCTCTCCTATTAGTGATATCATTCTTCTACTTTCTAGGAACTGGTGGATGAGCTCTATTCATTTCGAGACTGCTATTTTGAGACACATAGTGTTGAGGATGCTGGGCGGAAGCAGCAGGATGTACGGGAGGAGATGGAGAAGACGCTGCAGCAGATGGAGGAAGTAATGGGTAGGAGCCCTGAGAGTATGTGTCCCCTTCCTTCCCTGAAAGGTGATAGAGTTCTGCACTTTCACTTTAGACCATTTAATAGACTGTGACTGCTGGAGGTTGGAAGTGCAGAATACCTCTTTTAAGAACCCTTGTGTGGGATAGCACCTTTCATTCTTTTTGTTGTTTTTTGAGATAGGGTTTCACTATCTAGTTCACACTGGCCTTGAATGCACTTTGCAGCCAAGACGGGCCTCCAACTCACAGTGATCTTCCTGCCTCAGCCTCTCGAGTGCTGGAATTACAGGCATGTGCTACATCCTGGCAAACTTTTCATTTTTTAACCTTTTCCTAAAATTTGATTGTAGAAATGGTGTGAAATAAAATAGCATACCTTCTAATTGAGGTGGTCAGGTGATCTGCTTGACCTTCTCCCTGTTTACTTCCAGTGTAGTTTGCCGTGGTCATGGTTATCTTTGAAGCCATTACTTCCTGCATTCGGTCTTCACTCTCGTCTGCTCTGTGCTTGTCTCTGTTGTCTCACCCTTTTTCTGACCTCATCTCTGACTGCTTGTTATTGGGGAACATTTCATTTCATTCAGGTTGGACTGCTCAGTCTCCCATGAATGGGCCACATGTATTTCTGCTTCTGTGTTTATATCATTTTCTCACCTGGAGGATCTAATAGTTTTTATCCTTCCCCTTCTTGGCTTTTTACCCTTTTATGATGTGCATGCTATATTCTTTTTATTATTGTTTTAATTTTCAGTATATATGCTTTGTCTTCATCAAGTTGTAAACTTCCCTGAGTGGAAACAATGCTTTCTTTATTACCCAATTATTTAATGTAGTATTGTCAACATAATAGGCATATGTATAAAGATATTCCTCAACTCTTTTCCTTTCTAGAGCTAGAATGAGGTAGTTTCTGCAGAGACTACGCCTTGGTCTTGCAGTGCCTGGGCTTTTCCATTTCCCTTTCCCTTTCCCTTTTTCCTTTCTTCCTAGGTTCCGTCCAGGGCAAGGCACAAATTCTAATGCTAACAGGAAAGGCACTGAATGTGACTCCTGAGTACAGCCCAAAGGCAGAGGAGCTTCTGTCAAAGGCTGTGAAGCTGGAGCCTGAGCTGGTGGAAGCTTGGAACCAGCTGGGTGAGGTCTACTGGAAGAAAGGGGATGTTGCAGCTGCCCACACCTGCTTCTCAGGAGCCCTCACCCATGTGAGCCGTCCTCCATCCCCTCAGAAAACAGATGGGAAGGATGGAGCCCCTTTGGCTCTCTGAATTTTGGTGGGACAAGAAATATTGGTCAGAATTGAGCTAGAATTAGAACAGAATCAGAAAGGAGGAAGGGGGCCAGTGAGGAAATTAGAGGTAGGGCACTGAAAAAGGAAAATAGTGATGGGATTAGGTTCAGAGGAAGATGACAAGTGAAGAAAAATTAGTGATCAAACTGACCCTGGTATATGCCCATTGAACAGCAAGTGACAGCAAGAATTAAGACCAAAAATTCGATTTTGGAGAAGGTTAAGGTCAGAGTAGACTCTAGAAAGGGGAAGTAGAGTCAGGGAGATTGAGATGTGCCTTTTCCATTTGTAGTGCAAGAACAAAGTGTCCCTACAAAACCTGTCAATGGTGCTTCGCCAGCTGCGGACCGACAGTGGAGATGAACATTCTCACCATGTCATGGACAGTGTCCGGCAAGCTAAGCTAGCTGTGCAGATGGATGTCCTTGATGGCCGCTCCTGGTGTGAGTGCTCTCAGGAGCGTGTAACACATTTCTTGTCCTTTTTTGGGGGAGGGGTACCAGGAATTAAACTAAGGATCTTGCACGTGCCAGGCAGGCACTTGTGTTACTGAGCTATATCCCCAACCCCTTACTAATACATTTCTAAAGTAATGGTTCATATTACAGTCATCTAGTGCTATGTATTGAGCTGACTGAGGCTGAAGCCAGGGTGTCTTTGTTTTAAGAAGCCCAAGAAGTATTTTTATGAACCACTCTTGGAGGATGACTGGAATAGGTCAGATCTTAGCCACACGCTCTCAAATGTTCCACCTCTGTGTCTCTTTCAGATATCCTGGGGAATGCGTACCTTTCTCTTTACTTCAATACTGGCCAGAACCCTAAGATCTCCCAGCAAGCCCTCAGTGCCTATGCCCGAGCAGTGAGTACTTATGGTCACTCAGGCCAGATGCATAGTGGCAGAAGCAGAAGCAAGACTGTTGTAGTCTCTCTTTTGGTTCTTTAGCAAACAGCAAGGGTAGCATTTGCTGACACCCTATATGTGTGGTTTTGTATAGTTATGTCTGAAGAGGTGGCTTATTTCTCCTTATAACTTGAGTGTTAGGAACTACAGTACTTAAAGTGTGATATTTTGATGCCAGTTAACTCCTTAAACTGTATGTTTGTCACGAGCATGTGTAACTAGGTCCCAGCGCCCATCCCAAGATGTTCATCTTTGTTTTATTTAGTTTAATTTAGTTTAGTTTAGTTTTGTTTTGTTTTGTTTTGTTTCTTTTTGAGACTGGAGTCTTGATATGTAATCAGTTTAGCTTGAACTCCTGTTCTTCTTGCTTCAGCCTCTGGAATGCTGGATTATAGCCATGCACCTGTTGCCTGGCGATATCTTTTGTACTGTGTGTGTGTGTGTGTGTGTGTGTGTGTGTGTGTGTAGCCCATTAAAATAATGCTTATTATTATTAAAACATTCATTTTAAAGAAAACTAAAAACTCTGACACATGAGTATAAGAAACCACTATCCCCGGATCATTAAAACATGCAACTCTTTTTTTTTTTTTTTTTAATATGGCCCTGTGATCAAATTTGGGAGCAGGTGCTTACACTGCTGAGCTGTATTCCCAGCCCTAAAAAAATACAGCTCTTTATTGCCCACAGGTGACAAGAAAACAGCACTGTAGAGCCGTTCTGCCTCATTTCCTGGAATTAATTCACTGGAGCTCATGTTTTGCTTACTTGTAACCACCTCTGTGTCAGTAGTTGGAGGCTCCTTCAGGCTTGGAGTGTCCGACACCTGCTACTAGGAGTTTCACATTAGCCTTCGAAGTGCTCATCTTTCTTTTGCTTTCATGTTTTCCTTGATCTAGAGAATTGGGTTTTTTTGTTTGTTTGAAAATTGGTTGTTGTTTTTTAATGTATTTAGTAGATCAGACTTGTAGTGATCCTCCTGTTTTCAGCCTCCCAAGTGCTGGGATTATGCCACTATACCCAGTCTCAATCTCATCCTGACTCGGGGGCAGGGCTGGGGCCAGCACAGCTTGTAGTGCTGGGCATTGAACCCCAGGCCCTGCACTCTGCCTAAGCAGGCACTTTAGTCTGCTGAGTTATCTGGCCGGCCTTTTTTGTAATTTAATTTAATTTTATTTTTTGCAGTACCAGGGATCAAACTCAGGATCTTGCACTTGCCAGGCAGACACTTATGCCACTGAGCTATGTCCCCAGCCCCGAAATTGGTTTCTAACTTGACCATTATTTCTTTTTTTTTTTGCTTTTTAAAATTTTTCTTTATGTGGTTGTATAAAGAAGGCAGCTGCTCTTTAGTCATGCTTGCAATTCAAGAACTTTTTCTGGTAGACTTTAGATAGAGAAGTTGTATTTTACTCTAAGTTATTAATTTTGTGAATGTTTATATTTCAAAGAACTTAGGTTTCAGACTTTTTAATTTGGCTTCTGCTCATTAGTTGCTTTTAGCCCTTAATATCTTCACACAAAACTCCATTTTTAAATATACATGAGTTATTTATTTATTATTTATTGTGATACTAGGGATAGAATCGGGACCTTGCACTTGCCAGGCAGGTGCTTATGCCATTGAGCTGTCTCCCCAGTCCTTGAACTGATAATTTAAAAACTTTTAATTTGTATTGTCTGTGCTTTTGCAATGTGGTAGGCAGTGCATAGAATTTAAAAAATGAACATAACAGTTTCTTCACAGTACCTTTGTCTGGACTGTCCTCTGGTTTCTGGACATCTGCTTTAAAGAATCATGATTTCATGCATGTCTTGAGAGGATTTGGCTATAGAAACATGATTCTGCATGTGTTTGGAGCCAAGCTTGTGGGCAGACAGAATTCATTGAACTGACACTATTTCTGTCCTGGGCATTCCTCATTTATAGCAGCATATTACTATTTGAACAAAAAATTGGGCTGGGGCGATGGCTCAGTGGAATAAGCGCTTCTCTGGCAAGCGCAAGGGCCTGAGTTCAATACCTGGTTCCACAAAAAAAAGAAAAAAAAAAATTATCAGAATGCTTTCACATATTTCTTCTTATTCTATCTTTATAATACTGTATAGATTAATTATAACCATATTTTAGTTTCACATATGCAAACAGCTCCACATCCCTTAGGCTTCGTAGGCTGAATAATAATCAGATTCGCATGTGGTTATAGTAGAACAGTGTGAGCGTAGGGAGCGTTTTCACAAGGAAGAAACTCAAGTTTTTCTAGTGAGAGGAAGTATCTAGGCCATGTTTATCCTTCATATGGAAGCAGGATCCACTGATGATCCTTTTTATCATTCTAGGAGAAGGTCGACAGGAAAGCTTCCAGCAATCCCGACCTTCATCTGAACAGGGCAACGGTAAGACCCATAAGGCGTAGTCACCTGCAGGCCAAATAAAAACATATTTGGTGTTCACCTTTGAGGATAACTGAGTATACAGGGTTAGAGCTGGGTACAAACTGAGAGAAAAGTCAAATTATTTCTAAGAGGTAGTTCAGTTTGACTTCATTTTCTGGTGGAATCATTAGAGGGAAAGGAGAAGGAGAGAAGGAATATATGGTTTAGAAGTCTTCTAAATTAAGTATAAATATCAAAATAGAGTGACCCAATATCTGCAGTATAACTATTTTAGAGTTTGGAAATTAGCTTCCATCTAATCACCATCTTGGCCAGGAAGAAGACATGTATGACAGAAGAGGAAAATAACTGGGAAGGGAAGTAATCTATTTCTCTGGGTTGTATCCCGTTTTATCATTCCGGCTGCATAATTTGTTGGATATACTTACAATTGGGAGGTTTTGGATTACTTTTTGCACAGCTACATAAATATGAAGAGAGTTATGGCGAGGCCCTAGAGGGGTTCTCTCGGGCGGCAACACTGGACCCTGCCTGGCCGGAGCCCCAGCAACGGGAGCAGCAACTCTTGGAATTCCTCAGTAAATTAACCAGCCTGTTGGAGAGCAAGGTAAGGATGTGCCAGGGGAGAAACCTACTCCTTAATTCAGTTGTAGGTCAATAAAATAAGAAAAGAATAAGAATAGAGTGGTAATCTCACAGAAGTGGGTGGGTGGGACAGAAGGACTAGACCCTCAAGGACTATACAGTTTTCAGCTTCTTAACCTATCTGTGTACCATCCCTTTGCAGGGAAAAATGAAGGCCAAAAAACTGCAGAGCATGCTAGGAGGCCTGCGTCCAGCCCACCTGGGCCCATGTGGCGACGGGCGCTATCAGTCAGCCTCAGGGCAGAAGGTGACCCTGCAGCTCAAGCCCCTGAGCGCACTGCAGCCTGGTGTGAACAGTGGTGCTGTGGTCCTGGGGAAGGTGGTGTTTAGCCTAACCACGGAAGAGAAAGTCCCCTTGTGAGTTTCTTGGCTTTCTTCTTTTTCTTCTGGACTAATTGCTGTCATGTCCTGATCTTTCTCTGGCAGTTGAAGGCCTTGCCAGCAGTCTCAGATGAGTGACTTCTTCAGTCTCTCTACAACCTTTATAGATTTGATTATTGCTTTTTACCCCTGAGGGCAGTACTTTATGGATTATTACATTCATAGCTCAGATGTAACAAGCATGTTTTGTTAGAAAATATGTAAACCTTAAAATTTTCCTGCCCATTAGAATATATATATGTTTTATTGGTACCTTTTAGATACACATAATGATAATATTTATCATAGGAAATTTGTTCTGGTACATGGTAGATCTTGATTCTTCTTTTTTTGCAATTTGCCTTCCCTCCTTCCTGTCTCTCTTCCCCTCCTTATTTACAAA